TTTTTTTTTGCATGTCTTATGCGTTTCCTCGTTGCCGGTGCGCAATGTTGGTAGGAACGCCATTATCTCTGTGTAATTCCTCCTTGCGGCGCACTGCAGTTTGTGGTCTCCATTGTCGTTTCTCAGTATGTTATCACAACTTGTTTACATCCATACGTGCACATGGTAGCATCCATAAGGCGAATGATAAGAAAAAGAATAATAATAATAATACCGGTGGTTCTCTTCACTCTACTGCAAACAAGATGAGTACAAGCTCTCATGTTGATATGGATAATAATGATGCTACTACTACTTCTACGGTTCATCGTGGTGTTAACCGTAATACGACTGTATCTAATGTACATTCTCCTCTTCTCCCGTTGGAGATGTTTTTTCAAATTGTTAGTCCACGTATTGCCACAGCTCCGTGTGTAACCCGGATTGGTTCATTATATAGTAATCTACCGCCTGTCTTGGAGGAGGCTGTAGAGAGTACGAAGCCCATTCCTCATGGAGTTCCTCGGGAAACTCATCGATGGATTCGTCATCAATTTGGTACTATTACTTCTGGATTACAGCAGTTGTACTTGACAAATAAAACCTCTCACTGGGGTGTGTATATCTCTGAGGATCAATTGTTTGTCGTGAAGGCTTCTTGTGAAGAAGAGGCGAAAGAGGCATTTGCGGCTGTACTTGCCGTTAGGGCGAGTGGTCCATTATGTGAAACCGAGAGTCTTTTTGAAGTCTTTCAACCGGTTTTCCCATGCTTTAAACCCCCACCTCCACTATCATTATCATCATCATCATCATCATCATCATCACAGCCATTAGGTCGCAGTATGGGAAATAAAAGTGCGAAAAAATATATTTCAGATACGGTGTTTACACCACAGATGTTAGTTCCATATGTTCCAACGTATTTTATTCCCATGTCTGCATTATTAACTGTACTCCCCGATGGATATACAGCTGAACACATCGAACGTATTTTTGCCGCTACTGGAACCTTAGAGATTGTAACACTAGAAGGTGAACAATTTGTACGATTGCATGGAGGGAAACGATTGGTAGATTTTACACGTGAGGCTGCAGGAGAAGCGGCGCATATCCGTTGGCGAGAGTTTCAACCGGATCCTTTTCTCTGTGAAGCCTTTCGTCGTCTTTTACCCCCATCACCTCGATGGGCATCTCTGCGTACATTGATTAATCAAGCTCCATCATCACTACTACAAGCATTATTGCCTTGGAAGAATTATAAAACTATTCTCTACTTTGCCCAAATGCAACATGTGTTTAGTTTCACACCAGCTGGTGAAGGTGAGGTGTGTTGGCTTGGAAATGTGACGTGTTTATCTTTTCATGATAGTCCCACACCAGCGGTGGTGTCGGAGTTAGTTGGTATACTCACAGGACAACGTATATGTATAGCGGATTTATTGAATCCACATATTCCCCGTATCTCTGATCATGCCAAAATGCAGATTATTTTATACTATGGGACACTTGTTAAGTTTTTTCATGTTCATGGAGATGTCTTTTACCTTAATGATGATGATGGGGTGGTGGGACTTGTATCTGAAGGAAAAAATACGGCGGAGAAAACCACACATACACTTGAAGAAAAACTAGAAGATGCTTTAGTAAAAAAAGACCGTCGTACTGCACAGAAATTAAGACGCCGTTTAGCATTAGAAAAAGATCCGGATAATCCATATGCTGATCGTGAAGTATTATTGGATGCTGTTCTTCGTTATGTCCCACAACATCGCTCAATCTCACTACATTTTCTACTTAAATCACTCCCACCATCCTTAACGGATTTCCTCCCTAGTAAACCTATTTCCTTATTTCAACAGGCACCAGAAAAGGTGCGGTTATTTGAGTATCGCTACCGTCATCGTATGCATCTCATTCGCCCTGGTGTACCATTACCTCAAGGTGTTCTGCGGCAGAAATACACAGAAGAGGAATTACTATTCTTATGTGCTGCAGAACTTCAACAACAACCACGTGTAGCCTCTGATCTCTACGGCCGTCTCCCATACGGGGCGAAGGAAATCATACGTCTTCAATATAAAGGTTTAGTACAGCTCTTACAACGATATCCTCAATACTTTACAGTTGTCTTTAAGGATAGTGTGCGGATGGACTCCCGCTCAGCATTAGTGACACTTCTGCAAATGCCAAAAGGTGTACAACTTAGTGAAGAAGATTACGGTGCCATGGCTCCACAAACACCGGAAGAACAGCGCCAATTAGAGGAAGAAGACAGAGCAGCCATACAAACACTACCAGAAGAAATACAACAAACCATGCGGCTAACGGAGGCAGAATAGCCATTTTTTTTTTTTTTTTTTTT